TGACTTTCGAGCTCTCAGCTTTCATGGAGCTAATGTGAAGATGTTGTGAATGAGCCGATCGCATTCTTCGATCGTATTCTATATTAACGACAACGGCATCTTCCCAACAGCCGACTAATGAATTGAATGAGTCCCAGTTTGCGGTGGTTCTGGGACCTCGGCTTTTGAATTTAGCAGCTTTTTCTCCTTTCCGCGAGAAATAGAATCTTGCATGAAGGAGACGGTGGTCTGATCGCGTGTAGAATTTTGGGACAACAGCTACATCGGTTAGGCAAAACTTTATATTTACTATGACGTGGTCTATTTCGTTACGGTACACTCCATTGGGAGACTCCCACGTCCAGCGTTGAGAGTGGGACTTCTGGAATTGCGAGTTATCCTGGATGGTCTTGGTCGCCATGATAAATTCATACAGCCGCTCACCCTCTTCCTTCCATTCTAATCCATGGATCCTAATGTGACGTTCTTCAGACGTTCTTCTTGGTCCAATCTTTGCGTTGAAATCTCCAATGATGACCTTGAAGAATGTGTGGTATTCTCTGTAGAATTTCTCCAACTCCATATAGAACGCTTCAACTTCTTCCTCATCATAGTTTGATGCCGGCGCGTAAACGACGAGATTGCCAAGGCTGGTACTGTTCCACATCTCTTCAATAGTAAACGCATTTGGGTAGTTAGTTATTAGAATGAATCGATGTTCGTTGACAAACTCGTGTACACGAGAACGCCGACGCCGCTGACTCCTCTACTGTTGCATGTTCCGAGCAACAGTTTTTCTTCGGTATCACAGACGGCGTTAAATGGGTGGCGTCGTCTCGTTTCGACCCAACCGATGGCCTCGTAACTTATTATTCTCGCTTGCATGATTAAGTCTTATATCGAGGACTCAGATGCGAGTGTGCGTTCATTGTCGGTACAGATCGCCTTAGCCCTTAGGGATTTAGGTAGCTTAGAATGGCCTTGAGACTTCAGCAGCCTCGTTGTACTCGTCCTACCCAATGGTGTTGAATCGGGGGCTTCTTCAGGGTTTAGCGAATTGGGCTGTTTTTACTGTGTATAGTTTTTTCATACACACATATGGCCTGCTGAGCTTTGAATGTGGGAGCTGGGTATACTCACGGGTAGCTTGCCAGTTTCTCCTAAGGTAGGCATGGAGCTTATTTGTTGGAGGTGACTCCTAACCGCTCCCCATATAGTTCTCTCTCACTTGATTGCAGGCTCTTGGCCGAATTGACTCGTAGAATACAATCCGCATAAGCAAGAACGCACCCACACACGCATACATGAATACGCCTAGCAAATACAGAAAGTATGTGCCAAGCCGGTACAGCAGAAACAGGAAGTCCATCCCCTGGATCACCTGCGTCCCAGGAAAGCATACGGTCGCTTTTGGTCCGCGATTAACCCCTATCCGCTACCTGGGGACGCGCCACGTAGCCTCGCGACTAACCGGCTCGAGATCCCTCATACGAGAGAGATCTGTGGATTTATTAATGTAACTGACTTTATATCTCTTAGTGATCAATCGCCTCGTCTCGGCTGACAGATGTTCCTGGGAGTTGGAGTGCGGTGTATAGCGGGAGGGTTCATCCCTCAGCAGAGTCTTCCACGCTGGGAAAGAGCCCGGCGTTTCCAACAGAAAGCCTAGCTAAAAGTAAACCAATACCAGGACCCAGCACAGTCCTGGTATCAACTTAATCGCATGGTGGCAAATCACGCTCCGATCCACAACGGCGGCAACCAGCTGTGGTGATGACGACGAAACACATTGGCTAAACCAGCAAAACTCAAAAAATGGAGAGTGTGCTGAAGCCCACACAACTAGTGAGGACTGACCATCCAAGTATCCAAGTAAGGAACTCACTTTATATTGTAATAAAGCCCTGTATTCACTTACGATAAATCGGAATGGAAAGAAAATGCATTTTTCGAGGCAATCTATTGCATCACTATCCCCATAATTATATTACAGTAGAGGAGTGTTAGAGTAAAAAGGACTGTACATGAATTTCTACGAACTCTTCAATAAAAGCGGAAAAGAAAATGGTGAAATTGCTGAAGATAATGTTAATTCAACTATTCCCCATGTCGTGTGTTCCAGTGAAAAATCTGAAAATGCCAATGAATAAAAATGATGTAACAGGCAAAGGCAGATATCTGTGGTCAGACAGTCTACTCATTATCACCCCCATAACTTCAGTAATAAGTCAATCCAGAGTGGATGAATAGTTTCTGGTTGAAAGGAAAAGAAACAATACATGCTTATGAATTAATGAAATTGTTAGACTGCCATAACTTCAGGATTGTTCTAGTTCTCTGGTGCCATTTTGAGAGAAAATGGTATCCAGCCAATGTACATAAATAAATGTAATGTATAATCTTAACTCTTTTATTTACTGCCTTTTTCTTCTTAATGGCAGGGTATGTTGTGAAATATAACTCGTATGAGGTGCTGAGATATTTGCAAAACTCCGGACCACAGGTGTATGCAGTGGGGAACGAACACGCGCTGCTCCCCGGTAAGGAAAACAGCGCGTGTTCGTTCCCCACTGCATACACCTGTGGTCCGGAGTTTTGCAAATATCTCAGCACTTCATACGAGTAATGTATAATATTAAATAAGTGGACGATCATGAAATGCAAGTATTTGAATTGTGCGCGAGAGTGGCCTAGGCATATAGAATTACAGGGTATATCAATAAGAAGACATCCTGGAAATGTAGTGTCACTGAATCACTGTTGGTGAGGCTCACAAAAGACAACAGTGGTGTAAAGAAGGCGTCTATACACCAATAATTAGCATAAATGTGCTACAGTAATTGAGAGCTCGTCATGTGCAGGGAGAACAGGAAATGAATGTAAACAGCTTGTCCAACAGAAACGTAGGAGAACAACTGAAACTCAACAAAATATGTGATTTCATGTTTGTTCAAGGCTAAGCTCACGCGCGGTTGGCAACAAAGCTTAATCTCAGAATTGCCACGATCGATGTCCACAGTAGTTATTTCTTATCACGTGTGACTTCTTTTAATAATATTGAACCGAATTAAGTAAAGCGAAAACCATATCAATGGAGTACTCTCACTCGAAAGTGCACACTTTTTTATAGACGGTCCTCAACGATCCTTCTTTTAGTTATATTTGTTGGGTAATAACGAAGTAATATTTCTACGAATCACCTATTATCCTGTCTCAGGATTAAAGGCAAACATCTTGATTAAAGCGGAGCTAAATAATACAACTTGCTCTGATAAGGACGGATTATTGACATGAAAAAAGACAACCTTAAATGGGCAATCAATCAATAACTAATAAAGTACCCGAGAGAGGATGACCCAATTGAAAAGATAGGGTAACATCGTATTGCGCATTATAAAAAAATTTAAAAATCTACAGACGTTTAGAACTTTTGTTTACGGCGGAGGAGATGCGAACCCAAGATGCAAACCAACAAGTATTGGGCAAATTTTTGTGCACACAATACAAAATTTCTTGGATAGGGCCATTTAAAAGTGTGTCCGAAATTGAAATAGAGTTCAGTTTTTCTAAACAATCTATGCAAACAACGTCGATATTTTAATAATTCAAATGTATAAGTAAAAGCTTACAACGTAGAAACTAAGTGGGTAACAACTGCACGGTGTGCACATTTCTTGTGGTCGAGTACGAAGAGCCTCCGCGTAGGAGTTTTGTGCAAGCAGAGCTTGAGCACACTCTATGTCGTCTGAAATTACTTGTTCCAACGTCTCGTAGCAAAAAATAGGAGCCTCACTTCCATTATATGCGGAAGTTTGTAGCTCTTTGCACTGCTAACGCACAGATCAACAAATCAACTAAATCGAGGAAAAGAAACGTACTGTAATACACAGCAACGTCAAATGGGAACATCGCCGCATTTCCGCAAGAGAACGCACTGTTTATCCAACGGTCCAGCATTATCTGAACAAGTTTGGAAGTTATTAAATTACTTTAATAAGAACTAGAGATACATGTCTCGTAACACTGAGATACCGCGCAATTACGCCTTGCTTACTTTATAGTGACTGCGGATGGAATCATCGAGCAAAATCGTATCCCCAGGAAAAAGAACCTTCGTAATAAACTGAAACGATCAACGAATAATGCGCACCTAATATCTGTGCAACTGAATTCAGTCACCTGAACGACATTCTCAGTCGATATAGGCTGCTCAACCAATCGTTAGCACTTTCATTTTCATATTTACTACACCAACTGAATTCGTAAGTGATTCTTAGAACCTTTTTATAATTACAAACTATACTGAACTCCTCAGAGCTTTAAACCAAAAGATGATGGAAAAAAATTACTAAAACGCATGGCAGAGTAAAATTTCCTATTCAGTTCATGACAATTCCCTACACATCGATGAGAGTTCACATTTAACTCACATTCACTCACCTTCGCGTTTCCATGAGCAGCAGCAAAATGAAGCACATTCGCTTTATTTCGTGTAGTTGAAAAGCATATACAACTCTAAACATAGCATGTAACTGAAACTTTTCAATCTGAATACACCTCTACTTCTGAAAACGACAACATAAGCGAAAAGCATTCGGCTGAAATCAACCAGAAAAGGTATAAAATGTTACTGAACACAGTTATTGGGTTTTCATGATAATCTTAGTGGCCGACTGTGAAAATATTCCCTGACGTCAGAAAGCAGCCAAAGCAGTGGTAGATCGTCACTTTCATTAGCAAATAACGTCCAAAGCTGCTATTCAACAAATAATAACATTTCTATGACCACTAAAGCATTCGAGGAATTGAAGAGTTCACAAATATTTTTTACTTATTTTACATGACCGATCATCACATCATCTACTGTGCGAATCCCAGCACCTGTTGCATTCGATTCGTTTCCCTAGCGCATCGTCCATAAAGGACTTCGAACAGTTCGCGTGTTCTTTCAGTTGCTGTTTATGGATTCCGCCTTCCTTATGAAAGTCATAGGGTGCTAGCCGAGTTGATTGTCTTTGCAGTTACAGCCGAAATGGGGCGTTTCCACATGGATTGGAAGGGAATGCTGAGGAGGAGAACGAACCAGGATTTAGTTTCCTGATGGATAACAACCGTTGCGCAGCACCATCGCAGTTCACAGATATATGGAACTTAAGTATGCATGGAATTAGAGCTTCCAAAAAGATCAGAGCGGATATTATTTTCCAAAAATTTTCTACGTTTAAGCGACAAGTATAAGTGATAGATTTCCCGTATGCTGTCAGCATCAGATACTTTCTCCGCCTCCTCAGACGCTTTTTTTGCTTTAGCCTTATCAATTCGGCATCACGCACCATTCTTGAGACCGTCGATAGACCTACATTACCCTCCTTGGCAGCTGCTCCTGCTTTTTTCTTTGATTCAAGCTGTTTTTTCATGTTGCTTTCATGAACGAGATCTCGTTAATTTCCACGCGTCATTATCGTACAGTCTCAAGGCAGACAATACACCGTCCAACTGGCCCAGCATTAAATGAGTGCTCCTAAACTTGGGTAAATAAATCTTGGTTGGTATGATATTCAGTGAAAAATGAATAAGATACTCTTCGTAGGCTTTCGTAAATCGTAATTTCAACTTGCTAGAATGGCTGAACAAGCGTAAAACAGCATTAAATGAGTGCTCCCAAACTTGGGTAAATAAATCTTGGTTGGTATGATATTCAGTGAAAAATGAATAAGATACTCTTCGTAGGCTTTCGTAAATCGTAATTTCAACTTGCTAGAATGGCTGAACAAGCGTTCTTATAGGTAGAAATCTGTAGATTCCATGGATTTTATTTCGACTAATAAATATCAATATCAGTCCAAATACTGTGACTTTAATTTGAAAAAGTTCAATACTTCTGCAGCAACGCATTGCACGCAATAGAAACTAGGTGCTGTGTGTTAACATTCAAGAACCACTGCACAGTCGCTATCCGTACGCGGCGAAGAATTATCACAGCGAGAACAGTAGAAATGAACTTGCAACACCAAAGTGTCCACTTTAAACCCCAAACAGTACTATCAAAAACTCACAGGAGAACATCTTTCGTTGTTGTCAAAATCAATCGTCCTAAGGCAGATTTCAAAGAATAGTTCGACATTGCCGGAAATTCCAGTCAACAACACTGGGTTCCTCAGCACTTCCTGTTTATCCACGGGAAACACACATTCGAATGCTACAACTCCTCCAACTGTGTGTCTAGCACTTCGCTAAATGAATGTGATATATAACATATAGGACAGGTTAGAGCTCGCCTAGTGGTTTACTAAGTGAATAACTTTGATAAATATGGATCGGTCTGAATGGATTTTCATTCACAGTGAATGCACTAAAAATTTAGGCGTCAAAAAGAAAGACGCCGGCCCCCAAGTGTTAAACTTCTGATATTTCGAGTATTCAGGTTCCCATTCACCTCTACTAATTTGGGCAAAAGAGAATATTATTTCAATTATTGATATGGACTACCTACTCGTTCGAACTTCCTCGCATTTCGCTCTCTTTCTGCGCGATATTCCTCATCTATCGTTTCACAATGGTGCGTTAGTTGTTGTTCCACATCGGAAGGGAGCTCAGGACGAGGATATTCTAAAAAATTAAAATATGGTCAAAATTAAGTTGCATCATTTCATGTAATTTTGACTTTTGCAACTAACATTGCACACTACTACGTATTCGATATTAAACAGTAGCATTCATAAACAGAATTCCCTCCGTACGCTTATGAAGGTTTTGTAAGGTAAGTGGAGAAATGTAGCTAGAAGGCCCCTGTGAGACACGGGAGGACACCTGAAATCGCTCGCGTCAGGATAGTCGGGCTTCCCGTCACTTCGAGTCGAAAATTTTTTAGCAGACTTGTCTGAGTGGATAAAAAACAGCGAAATGATAAACCGGTGGGTATTCCACATCTTTCAATGGTTGATTAATGTCAAATGTTCTACCATCATCATTTATTTCTTGTCTTTGGTCCTCGGTCCTTCGTCTTTTGTCTTTCGAAAAAAGATTAAATCATAAAACGTGAGAGTAAATGAGTATTCAGGTAGATCTAATGTAGTTAGTAAAAAGGAATCTTCAATACTATGTATGGAAGCTTTTTCTAGCTGGTACAGAATACTCGTTATTTTTCCACTGTATAGTCCATTCCTTATATTAATTGTAGATTTCCTAAAGTAAACCATTGTAATTTGGTGAAGTACGTAATCACCTCACAACTCTCGCCATAGAACCTCGGTACTTCACCATGGATCTTACTCTGTCTATAACATATCTCTCATAATAATGTTAACCTTTTATTTTCCGCCTACTATAATTTTAGGAAAGGGTAATCGTGGTCCGATCTGACCATGAGCTCAAGTTTTGCGAATGTCTCAACGCCGTTGCGGTTGGGCCTCATAACTGTTTGCGAGTCAATTGTAGAATCCTGTGCATTACTGGTGGTATAACGCTCTATTCATAGCAAATTCCAAAACTGACTTTTCTTAACCTCGGTTATGATAAATAATTCACTATTATTCTTGGTGAGCAAAAATAAACTGTTATTACAGCATTCCTTAATTGAAGCTGATGTTATTGCAGCATCCTTTAATTCAAGGTGACGTTTCGGCGTTTTTACGTTCTTTAGAGCTTGGAATAAGTCAAATTGACATGCGATATACTCAGTCAAACACTTTCATAACCCCAGCAAACAAAACATGACAAATAAATTTTCATATGCAAAGTAAACAGCTTCTTTTAAACACTCACCGTTCTGTTGTTTGTAATCCTCCCAGTTATTTTTTAGACCAACCGCACAGAGTATGACATAGGTGGGGAATATGCCTTGCTCAAGTCAAAAAATCAGCCTGAGGCATGGCGCGAAGTCACGACGCGTCACCACAAGGCACTCCTCCTTGCAGTTCATTTTTGATTATTGAAATTTGTCCAAAACGCTTCAACAGTTTTACGCGTTAAGGTTTCGGATTTCTTTGCCAGGATAGTAACTTTTACTTCAAAATCTTCTCCGTTGTGGATGTCTCCTAAGCGCTCCTAGTGGGGTATTTGGTTTCACTTTAAATTTACCGACTAGGTGCTCTTTTATACGGACGTAGAGTGGTCTACTCGTCTCGCCAATGTATTCGTGCCCACACACTTCACGAATTATTAGGTATATCACACGCAAACTCATGCAATTACCAACTCTACCCCAGGGCAAATTATGGAAATATATGTTTTACATAGGCAGTCATACAAACGGCTACAATCTAGTTGGTATCTTACAGTGTTCAGTGGTAATTCAATCACTATTACCGATTTCCTTAAATCGGCCCATTTAAGGAACGTTTTATAATCGTATCTATTTCGTTGGAAATGAAACGTTGGATAAATCGGACCTCATTCTTGCTAGAATTATTGTTTGAAGGCATGGCTTTTCCTCCGCACCTATCTCGAGGAGCTACAGCCTCATGGCCATTGGAAGCGGCTATTTGCCGCGCGAGTTTCAGGGATTCTTTCTCTCGCTACCTTCCTGTTAACTCATTAGTCGATGTTCGAAACATGTTTCTCACAAAGTTCCTTTTTGTGTGAGGGGTGAGAGGAGCTAATTAACCAGTATATTTTTATTACTTAGCTTTCGCTTTACTTTTATTACCACCTCGTAATGTAGCCGTTTTCGAATAGGTCAAATTGAACGTTCAGAAATGGAGGCAAGTTTTCTTTCGGCTTCTGCCGAGTGAAATTTATGTACTCTGACTGTTCGTTCAACAAGTCAAAACACTTGCCCATCTCCTTTGTGGAGCAGATGACCAAACAATCATCTATATATCTGCAGCAGAGTAATGCCCAGAGATCGATTAATGGAGCTTCCGTCTTAGATATGGAGGGAATGGCAAGGCCTGATCTCAACCACTGTTCCATTACCAACATTCTCATTTGTGTAATATTTTCCACGGAGTCTGAAGACTGAGTAATTTAGGCACTCCCTTAAAAGGCGATGAGCTGCTGGGTCAACAAGCTATACATATTTATTGCTGTTTTGCGTTGCATACGGTGCTCGCGGAGTCGTTCGAAATGTTGGTACAAAGGGCAGTAACGTCGAAAGACTCTATCGCATCGGCGCTGTTAGGGCACACCATACGTAGAAGATCCAAAAACATTTGTGTATTCATGAGATGGGGTGGGATATGTTCCACCAACTGGATAAGAATTACTTATTAGAATTTACAAACAAAGTTATTCTATTCGTGGGCCCGTCTGATGAAGGAACTAACCTCGAAGTTTGAGCGGTCAATTAACATCAGACCATCAGTGGATACTAACTAATGAATGCTACAATCACAATGATATTGTGATATTTGCAAAACTCCGAACTGCATGTGTCTACTGTGAGGAACGAACGCGTCATTACCCTCTCCGGGGACAACGCGTTCACCACCACACCACGCGGGTCTTTCGTTTCGCTTTTCTATCTGCTAGTTTGCTACCTACCAGTGCCATCAGCAATCACCCGTCAACGAGAGGAACGCGTTATCATCCGAAAACGGTAATAGCGCGTTCGTTCTCCACCGCAGACACCTGCGGTCCGGAGTTTTCCAATTATCTCTGCATCACTGTGTTTGTAGCACACATAATACCCTGCCGTGAAAAATTGTAAAAGGCAGTAAATTAAAGTCAACATTGTAACTTGTGAGTTTTCGTAAGTAAGTATAAGACGGGATATGTTAGTAATCCAATTTTAAGATGCAAAATAACTTCTGGTTTTACACTTGCCGCGCTTGCCACTTTGACCTATTCGTTGTTCACTTTTCGATATTGACCTTTGAATTCCTTTCCCGATGATGCGCGATAAACCTAATCGTCTTCAAGATGTTCTTCTATTATCTTAAGATCTAACTCACGAGGAATTACTATAAACTCTCCACCTTTATCACTAACCGATAGTTCAATAGTTTTTGATCTTATCAGTTCTCGAATCTGTCGCATACCACAACTAGGTTCCTGTTAGATTGGAAATAAACTTTCTCCCCCGCTAATGGTTAAAGATTTAGAGAGTTTCGTCCTAAAATGTACACAAATTGATGTCTACTTCACCGCAGAGGTGTTGCCGTCTAAAGAACACTCAAGGAAAAAGGGGTAGTAATAATGCCTTTACTTCTTATCGTTCGTTCCTATGTAGTAGCGTTTCTAATTCACGTTTCTAACGGAGTTGGTCTTGAAGCTCGTGCAAACTGCATACGACACTACTCAAGGCTTCTCTAGAAATGGATTGCGCCGGTCAGAAACTTGAAGCTAACTCTAATAGTGAACGCACGTCACCGTCTCTATTTATAGTATTTCTACGTTTTGATCACATTACGACCTATTTTGCTGCCTGTATATTCGTTGATTTGCTATGCTGCTATCATTGTGTTAATTGTGCTAA